AATTTGTGGTAACACATGCAAATCTAGTGACAATTTAGTAAGATGCAGCCCAAAAAGTAGTGCCTTGTAATTAGTAAAAGAAACGTATTTTGGGCGAAACGACCACTTTTTCAATGTCTGATTAACATGAATGAATCCTTACTGCCTAACCACTTAAGCTGCTCTGAGAATTTTGTAGGATTTTGTACTCAAAGTATTGCTCTGTAATTAGTAGCAAACGGGTATATTTTTGGCACGACCTCTTTTCAAGATTTTTTTTTCCTCCAATGAAAAATACTGATCCAATTTGAGCTTTTGGTCTCATGAGACTATTGCAGGATTTTGTTCAAAAAGTCAGTGGAAACCAACATATATTTTGAGGATGAATATTTTTTTTTCCACATTATGAAACGGCGAACTGCTCGAAAAAAGAAAAAGAAATGCTGTTTTTTTTCGACTGAGCTGGCGGTGAAATAATCCAGCTATGAACAAAATGGGACACTGAGCATTTTTGGACAAAATTCTTGTTGCCGGGCGACCCGGTGGTCCAGTGGTTAGCGCGTCAAACTCACAGTGCAGAGGTACCGGGTTCAATTCCAGCTTCAGCCTCCGTGTGTGGAGTTTGCATCTCTGTGTGCCCTGCGATTGGCTGGCAACCGGTTCAGGGTGTCCCCCGCCTACTACCTGAAGACAGTTGGGATAGGCTCCAGCACCCACCGCGACCTTTGTGAGGATAAGCGGATCGGAAAATGAATGAATGAATTCTTGTTGCCCACCATTGGGATGAGAAAATGTTGATCCTTGCCAGATCTTTTGCTCGCCTGATCATTTTTTTTTTTTTAGCATTGAGTACAAAATGAGCCAATTAATATAAAACACATCTTTTTGGGATAACTAACTACTTTTGTCATGATTTGGCACCTCTGGGAATTTAGGAGGACTTTGTATAATAACCTAAATCACTGTATTTGTTGAAAATTGACTTTTTTTTTCTTTTTTTTTTTGCACCCAGTTCAACAGAAAATGGAGATTCCTTCCAGATGTTATGGTCTCATGATAATTTAGGATGTCGGACAAAAAGCACTGCAATAGAAAAAAAATGATGAGGGGGACCCCTCGAAAAAGCATTGCATGAAATGTATGTACAGTACACACACACACACACACACACACACACACACACACACACACACACACACACACACACACACACACACACATATACATATATATATATATATATTTAATTTTAGTAAATTTCTAAAGTAAATGGATGTTTCTGAGCTGAACAGGCTTTCTATTTTTTTTGTAGTGTAACCTATTATAAAAGTAAATAAAATAAAGCTTGACATTTTTGTTTGTTTTCCTACTCTAAAATCATTTTTCTCTTCAAGAACTGTGTGGAAATCTGCAAAGAGCGTGTGTTCCAATCGCATCACATCCAACCAGACCTGGCTGGGTTTGAACATCACGCGACAGGGAAAAACATGCTAAAACCTCACCAAAATAAAGACTTGAGTGTGTATATAGGGTATATAATTAACCTCCCATGACAACACACAATTAAATAAGAGTATCCGCGCGCGTGCGTGCGTGTGTGTACGTGTGTGTGTGAGAAAGTCTCGGTCTGTGCTGTACAGTGCACGGCATAAACGACACCTGACAATTTAATTGCCGATCAAAACACAAACGGGGGCGAAAAATTGGACCGTAATTGCTAAATGATGTGTGCAGCCTGCAGCCCTTCCCTTTTCCCACTCAGGGTGTGGTTGCACACACAGGAAACCGTTGTGCCTACGTTGAGCTGAGGCGGTCGACACACACACAAGAAACAAGAAATTCTCCTTTCCTCCATCCCCCCCCCCCCCCCACTGCCAAATACACTGTATGTTTTTCATAGAAACACTCATAAAAATACAGTCGAAAGATACAGTGGTGCCTCTGAGGTGGACCAAAATCTATGACATTTACTCGCATGTCGCAGCTAGGATATCGTGGTAGTCTCCATCTTCACTCGGGTGCTCCTTCTAGTCAAACGGTACAGATAGATGGATTCGTTATGCATCACACAGTCCTTGAAAGCCAAATCCTGGTTGGAAAGCCACTTCAATACATGAACCCTGGCTTGATGTCCTACTTTGAAAACCGACCACTTGCGTGAAACCCAAACTAAAATGTTACTTTGAAATCCTAATGTGAAATCCTCACCTGATTTAAAACTCATTTGGAAACCTGAACTGGGACTGTCCAGGAGGAAACAACTGCCCTTCAAGCATACATCAAGAGGATAGTTCCCAGTATCAAACTGCTAAGTGAATGCCTCAATCAACAGAAGCACAGTAAGGAGAAGGAGCCAGATGGGCATCGTTCCTTTCTTCTCTTTTTTTATTATGTGAAGCACCTTACCCCTAGACAGGTGCGTAACAGACACTGCAGCACACAACGGCAAGGTGTAAGATGCTACGAGACAAAGCATATATGGAGCAGCATAACCACGTAGCAACAATAATGTATTGGAACATTTGCACCAAAAATAGACTGGAGGTCTCAGAATTGAGATGGCGGACACCACGAGAGGTAGTTGAGAACAACCGAGACCCTGTAGACGAACGGGTAATGACCAACAAGCCTGACCTAGCGGTAAACATAAATATTAAACCTTAGAACACAGCAGCCGCGAGAGATGTAGCGATCCCAAGTGATGGCAACATACGGAAAAAGGAACATGAAAGCTGGAGAAATAACTCTCCATGTCAAAATTGAAACTCAACCTTGATTTAGAATGGTATTCATCTTAAAGATGTGAGTTTCTCCATCCAATCCGACATTAGTTCTCAGTAGCTCAAAATGTGACAGACTGCATCTTCAGTCGAAAATGTGCAGAATAGAAAATGTAAGTAAAAAAAAAAACACAAAATGAGTCCAATATACAATAGGACACATTTTCAATCGCAGCATGCAGCGTTGATTTCAACTCTCCAAACTAATGTCTATTCATCAAAATCAGCCTCTTGTTTTCTCCTCAGAGAAATCCATTTTTTGCCTTCAAACGACAACAATGTAACCCGGCACCACAAGTGTCCCATTCAATTTGGGTGGCCTCAACAAATGGAAAATGTAAACACGTTTCCTCGGGGCCTCACATTTATTCATTCCAAATCCAAATGGGTCTTTCAAAACTATTATAACCATTGTTTGAGAGTTAAGGCGCACACAAGAGCATCCAAGACAGTAAATGGAACCTTCATGTTTGCAACAATAAAAGTCCATTGTGAGTCTTTTGTAGACTGGCATGGATTTTTTTTTTCTTTTCTGACCGAAATACATGCTGCTAAATAGTGCTTTTTTCTCATTTCGCTACCTTCTTTTCCACACAATTTCTTTCTTATTAGTGTCAATTTTTTTTTTCAAAGAAGCAATACTAAGTCATTTTGGTCAAATCACACGAAATTCTCCTCATAAAATTGTTCAAACTTTTGTGGAAAAGCGCTTCTAAATTGATATTGAAAGATATTATCAGTGGCTGTGTATTTTCTCTGCTTTTTGAATCAAAGTCCACATAATTATTAGGACAGTACACACAGCGTCAATTATAAGATTTTTTTTTCATTTTGAACGCAACCAAAAATCTTATTTTTGTGCAAAATCACCCTCATTTGTGTTAATTTAAGAACCGGCTATTTTGTTTCTTTTTGTCTCTTTCTTCCCTGACGCCACAGCGAACCACAGTGACCCGCAACGAGCCCTACCACACGCGCACACACACTTTTTATTATTTTTATTTTTTTTTTTTTTGCGGGTCTATTACTCAAACCTCTTAAGAATACTAAATGGAATGTGGTTGTGCAGCTGTAAAAAAGAATAAGCTTTGTCGTAATTCAGGGCTGCATCCTTTCGAGGTTGCATTTGAAGGATGATGAAAAACGGTCCTAAGTAGAGGGCACCGAAATACAGATCTTAATTTTAACGGTACACAGCTATGTTCCGCTATGATATTTCACAGGCACCCATTGATGCACCGGAGGTCACATTTGAAGGCAGATGATGTCATTTTTCCAGGTGGAGGCCAAATATGAAGGATCAGTGCAATGCAACAATTTTTTTGCTGCCAACCATACCACAATATCCGGATCTTGCTGCAGCCTTTGGAGCCCATATTTGAAGGCAGACGACGTCATAAAGGATGTCACAATATAAGGACATTTTTAATTGCAGCCTAAATGCAGTTTCTATTTGAAGGACAAACTGGTACTCTATATTTCTAGGCTATCACCAATGTTCCTTAGGATACATTTGAAGGAAGGAAGGAAGGAAGGAAGCTAAGTAATATAAGAGTGGGTAGGCCTTGTGGGATCCAATCGACCCATCAGCGGCAGCAACCAAAGGGAGATGAAGTCATAATAATACAGAGTGAAGCCCTAATTGAGAAACTCCTTCAAATGCAGCGGATACTATTCTTCGCAGACGATATCATCAAACCATTCAATTTATTAGTAATGCTAACATTAAGCCAGCTAGCATTGTGACATAAGGGAAATGATGGGACTCTGTGACAAAAAAAAAAAAAAAACCACGAAATTTCCCGAAGATATTTTTTTTCCTCCTGTACCGTAAATTCTGGATCCTTCGAAGGGCGAACTCCCTGAATCAGGACACATCTGTAGTCTATTTAACCTTCCAATGTTTTTCTACCCCCTCCCCATGCACCTGTGCTACATCAGTCCTTGTCATCTCGCCCGCTTTTTTTGTGCCCCAAAACCAATCAGCTCCTCGCCTGCAATCACGTCCTGCCACCTGTTCCTTGTTAAACGATCAGCCGTGTCGAACTGTCATTGATTTTTCATCTTTCACGTCAGCGGAAAAGCAACACAGTCGCACCTGACACGGACGTGACTAGCCTCTTTCATACTTTCTATAAACCAGCGTTCCCCAATCCACAAAAGCATTTCATGGTCAGCAATAATTTGACGGATTGGCATTGAAAACGGGAAAAAAAAAAGTTTCAAACTAAAACTCACCATGATGCTGACTGTAGTCGTGATATGCGGGAGCCCCCGTGCTTGTTTCTGTTCAATGAGCCGGTTGCATCTTGGGCTGATGGGGAAAATACACGTAAAGACACTTATAATATCGAAAAAGACATTTTTATTTCAGCCATCCTACACGGAGGGATTTAAAAAGACAAACAAATGAAAAAAAAAGAAATGTTAAATCCCATCGCTCTGCCCCGATAGCCACGAAAGCCATGTTTGCCATTGGGCTAGCGGCTAAAGGGGAGCACGTCCAGTCACTCACTTGAAAGAGACCAGGCTGCCCTCTCAAAACAGGCTAAAACGTTTAGAGCAGGGGTGTCAAACTCATTTTTGTCGCGGGCCGTTTTGGGGTTGCATCTTCCCTCGGGGGGCCGATACGACGGTGAAACTGAATACATGTTTATATATTATTACTTGTACACAACTAATTGATGGATTACCAGTCTTGAAACCATCTATCAACTATAGTAGTTTGTTCAATTATTGTTTGAGTGGGTGTTAACAGGGTAACAAAATTATCACAAAAATCTCAACATTGTTTATTATACATGACAAATTGACATTTTGGTGCAATTTTAGCAAGGCTCATGGAAGTTGACGCACATGATTTGCTTTCGCGGGCCACATAAAATGATGTGGCGGGCCAGATGTGGCCCCGGGGCCTTGACTTTAACACCTATGGTTTAGAGAGACATCACGAAACGGGTTTGACTTGTCAATAAAAGCATAATATCTCCTTTAAGGGTCATTTATCCAGAAAAAAAAAGAGTGTGTCATTTTGTTTTTTTGTATGTTATGATTTCATTTGGCAAATTTTGAAAAGGGGTGCAAAGTGGACGTTGTTCTAAACGCTGGGGCTGACGTTCCATCTAAATGGTGAAAACACGCGACGACGGGTCAACGTCTGGCCCACGTCTGTGGGTGGGAAAATATTTTGGGAGCAAAAGAAGCATTTTCCCCCCCATCAGAAGCCAAGCCAAAAACCGAAACGTCTCATTTTCACACAAGGCTTGGCATGAGCTAAATGACTTCTTTCTCACATTGGAACAAAAAAATCATTTTGTCCAATGGAGAAAAAAAAAAAAAAAATCTAATGAGGCCGAATGATCTCTGTGACTGCCAGTATTTTCTTTTTCTTTTTTTTTAGCAACGCTGCCTGTTTTCGTGAGGCGTTTGAAAGCCTCTCTGATGCCTCGCTGGCTTCTGAAGTCAACTGGTTGATTGGCGGCACTTATGAATGACGCTTCACTAGCCCGGGAGACACTGCTCCTCATTGCATCAGCAACGTCTACTGCTTGGAGAGCTTTAAGAAGCGTGCAGTGTAAATGTTGATAAGGGAGATTTGGAGAGGAGGCCGCTAAGTTACTCGGAGGCGCCTTCAAAACACACTTTGATTTATTACGGTTGAATTATGATCAAAAGTTAAAAGAAAAACAAATGGAGGGTGTCATGCCGCGTTTCCATCCTCATTTGGAGATGGGAGGAATACCGTCTACCCTCGTTGACGTTTCTTTTGAGGAGGAACCGCGAGATCTCAATGGGGTTGAGGACAGAGGACGATCAGTTTTTGGGTTTTTTTTTCCATGAACAATTCTAGGACGACCTCCTTCACTCATTGCAATCCTCGTGAATGTGTGTGTGTTATTGTCTTTTGATCTTTGCGTTGCGAATATGTTTGCGCCCCCATCTTAATCATGGGGAGAAATGTCCCTATTTTTCAAGAAATTGTTTTGGATGAGATCTTTCACTCCCTTTGGATTGTGTGTGTGTGTTGCGGGGGGGCGGGGGGGGGGTCTTTGTCTGGCACCTGATTTGACATCCGAAATTATTCGTGGAGAAATGTTTTCTGTCTTTCAAAAAAAAAAATGTGAGGATGAGCTTATTTCACCCTATCAAACGGCACCCAATCTAAGTATTCACAATGTGTAGCGGATGACGGTGTCTGATCTCGGTAACCTGCGCCTTGATTGCAGCGTGTGTGTGTTGATTGCAGCATGTGTGTGTGCTGATTGCAGAGTAATGCAGATCAGATGAAGCAAGAAATCGGCTTTTTGGCTCCATCAATCATCTTCCGCCTCAGCCCTCTCTGCTTCTTTCTTTCTCCAGCCCTCTGTATTTCTCCCTCGCTCTCTCCATTCTGGCTCATTTATGCTCTTTGAGTTTGGACGTCATTGTTTTTTTGCTCCTTCTTTTGCGCCGCCTCACCATCGTCCTTTATCTACGTGCCGCACGCTCGCTACTTCCCATTTGCCATGTTCCATTGATTCATTGGATCACGCACACGCGAACACACACAAATGGCACACTTAGGGCTGATTGTGACATTTTTCCAGCGTGCGCGCCGACGCCTTCTTATGCTATCTTATTTTCAAAAGTAAATGAGGGTTCATTCGAATAAAGAGAGTCACCATTTCGCTCTTTTTTAGCAATCGCAACGTGTCTCCGTGGTTGTCATGACACACACGCCTCAGGGTTAAAAAAAAAAAAAAAAAACATCCAAAATGTCGGGGCATTCAAAAAATAGTTACAGTAATGTGTAATATTTGAATTACAGTGGCGTCATATTTTTTAGCTCGAATATATTCACACGTTGCCGCACGGGTACATGAGATTTCCGCACGGGCTAAATCGAAAGCCATTTTTTCAATTTTGACGCATTTCAGACATTTTGGGTCACAGCTGAAGAAGCCCATTAATCTGTCGCTCAGCAATTTCCCCGCTACAAGGTAGACCAACTCTCCTCGACAGTCACGATGCTTCGTTCCACTCGGGGATGCGTGAGAAAATCCAAAAGATGCCCTGCGGAATGCAATGCGGTCGCCTGCCACCATGCATTTCCAGTTATATGATTCGAAACGTAATAGGCTGAGCTGTTTGTTTTCGCTGCCTGCTCCGCTTCAACTGATAATAACAGTGAGATCATACCGGAGCGCCGTCCAAAAATGTTTTACCCATAAAGCTCCCTGAGGAACTTCAGTCACCGCTGAAGATAAACAGACAGAGACGAGATAAGACGAACGCAATGGAAACTCAAATAAAATGAGATAATAATTAGAAACATGGATCTTTGGTATTTCTGACCATGATGCCGTGCAGATAGAGTAAACACCCACTACACACACGAGACCGAGCCCTTGCCACTAACAGGCCAAAAAAAAAAACACCCCGCCACAAAATGTTTACAATTGCCCAAACAGTGGTACCTTCATTTCATGTGCACCATGTTTTTTTCCTAATTATGGGGCGTCACTAGGTTCATTTATTATTTATTTTTTTTGCTTCGTATTACGTGCCAAAATTCGTGTTACTTTCCTAATTATGAGGCGTCACTAGGTTCATTTATTTATTTTTTTGCTTCGTATTACGTGCCAAAATTCGTTTTATAAGTGAGGTTCAGGTACACTGCCGCTCCACCGAATTGGAAAAAAAAAAAATGGAGCGATTATGGTCTGGTGAGGAGAGCTGCGGGCTAACCGGCCGACGCAGCTCCAGATCTTGACCTCAATTGCTGAGCCACGCCCCTTATAGGCACACCCATAACACTGCAATTGTCTTGTATGGTAATTTCACTTCATAAAACCGGTATAAGATCAATTTCAATGGAATGTAACAAAAGCAAGCATGCAATACCGAAATCCATGCATTTAAAATGAACCCCGTTTTAGTTCATTCGTTAGTTTGCGTTCAACTAAAATAACCGTGGACACTACTTATTATGTTCCTCTTATTCAGGACCTTGGCTTCATCTAAAGAGCACAAAAATACCTGAGTGTAGGTGAAACAAACAAACAAAAAAAAAAGCACAGCGCAAATAGATGGAGTAGAGCGTTTCGGGAGGTCATTCGGGAACATCACTCAAGCCCTCGCTCGTTTTTGTTCAAATGGCAATCCCAGATCTGCCCGTGTGGCAGTCAATTACAACCAGATTGCCCCAACTTGACTGGGGCCTCCGTGCCACATCAATCCTGCCCTTCATCTATCTCCGTCCCCAGCCTCCGCCCCTCCGCTTGGCACAATGGAAGGAACAATGTGCCAGCGTGCCGCCACATCAAACGCGGGTGACAGAGAGACTTTAGCGGGACAGACAAAGACGTGGAATTACAGTGCGGCCCCAAATCTGATTGCGCATCAAAGCCCAAACTGCGGGGGGAAAAAAACATCCTCTTTAAAGTGATTATATATCCATGAGAAGAGAAAAGCCACAATGTCTCCCGCTCCGACGTGTTCCTCTGTCGTCTTGTTATCCCGCTGGTGCCAACTGTCTACACGCCACCGCCCGCCTCCTTTTTTTACACGCTGCTATCAAAGACGCAGCAGTGGGAATCCAATCCAGAGGACCGATCGGCGAAGGGTTATAATCCGCCCTCGGGAGTAGAACTTGGCAAGCGAGCTCGTCTCGGTGCGCGCGACAGCTTACGCAATGACGGCGGCGTCACATTTTCCTCAATTAGAACGTGACAAAATGATTCGGTTCCTGGGAAGGGCTCAAAACTGTCTTTTGGTCTTGTCCGCACAGTTGATCTATTTATTTCTAACGGCATTTTGCCGTGTTACTTGAAGGCCCCGACCAGAGGTGGGAGCGAGACACATATTTTGCAAGTCATACGTTAGAGTGAGTCTTCTGTGGCAAAATCAAGCAAGTCGAGTAGAGTCCCTCAATACATTTCGGGCAAGTCAGACATACAATCCAGCTCTATCACAACATTACTTTATTCACATATTAACGCTTTCCACTTCATAATATTAGCAGTCACAGTTTTTTTTTTTTTTTTAATGGTTTCAAAACCAGCATGGGTATTGTCTGTTCATTTTTTGGGTTCTCAGTCAGTGTTGCCGTTTTGGTCAGCAATGTGCTCCGCAGTCAGCTCCGTCACATTTATGAACTGAGCTATTGACTTAGTAGCACCTATTTTTTTCTAGCTATAAGAAGGGAAGTGTCTATTTGAGGGAGGTGTTTATTTATGGGAGACGCCCCCCCCCCCCCAGTTTGAACATAACGAAATAATGAAAGATGACCGTATTTCACAGAATGTGTCAAGCAGAAATGCGTTTATCCCTTGGAGTATCATGATCCTGTATGAAGACAATGGAAGCTTTCATATTTAATTTAAAAAAAAAAACCCTTTGCTGACAGATGCCACCCGAAGAATCCATAAGAACCACTCTGTACACCCTCTTGAACGTTACACCAACGGTCATGTCATCAAGCCTGCGACCCGGACGAGATGTCACGGTACATATCCCGTTGAATCGAATTATCTGAAGAAAAGAAAAAAAAAAAAAAAAAAAAAAGAACTTGCCACTCCCAAAACTGTCCGTGTGTCTATATCTCCAGTCCTGGCATTTTCGGCCCCCCCAAGCGTCATTCCGTGCTAACTGATGAGAGGAGACATCGCCTTGAAATGTGTTGTTTGCAGCTGCGCTTTTGTAATAAAAATTGGCCCCATTACACAAATGAATCCATTCTGCTTGAACGCAACACATCTGTGATGATGTGATATTGTCATGCATACTAGGGCCCAGATTGCAGTGCCACATTAGTGGTTATGAATCATCCCACACTTTAAAGACAGATGATAGCGTAGCTCATAGAGGAAAAAAAAAAAAAACATGCAATGCGGGTGCATGGATTAAACCCAGCTAAAAACCTTCATGTCGACTGGTGCGCTCCACACACATGTTGCCGCCTTGTAAACCGTAGCCATCCATCATCTTAGTTCACATGACGACGTTATGAAGTCCATCGATCAATCCTCCCCGCCCGGAGAGCCCTGTACTCTATACTCTTCTCGTCTTGTTCCTGTCATTCCCTTCAGCCCACTTCTGGTCTCACGAGTTTTTGAGTTGGAAGAAAAACTGTCACGCAAGCCTGAACAGAAGTTAAATAATACCTTTCCTTTTGAATGTAATCATAGAATCGCTGTTGCCCCATTGAAATGAATGGACATGTTGTTAATCCGTTCCAGCTCCACCCAAAAAAAAAAAAAAAAAAAAAGATGATAAGAGATCAATTTTGCGGATGATATAGAATCTATGCTTATGAGTATTGCCGAATGAGCTGTCTGCATATGTTGCTACCACTTGTTGTTTAAAGGTTATATTTACCGCAACATTGATGGCTTTTTTTTTTTGTTCACCTGTCTGTAGAGAGATTTCGGTTGATGGCTCGGATGTGAATAAAATAAAACTACTCACACTTTGAAAATGGAGAGTCGACAGGAAGCTGTTTTCAGAGTGATATTTCACCTTGCACCACTGCGTAGGTATTGCGAGCGTGCCTGCATGCCAAACAAAAAGGCCAAAGTAAAGTAAAAGCGAAACACGCTTGTGGAAGGAATCCTTTGCTTGACTTTTGAGGCTAATCTTGCCCAGAAAATGGTGATTCTAACAAAAGCAACGACACACGTTTCACAAACTTTTGAGACACACACATTTTCCTTCTTGAATTTACTTTTTCTTACCCTCCAAAATGTCACAGTATATTCTCCAGCTGAGAGACACTGACGATGATGAATAGTACTCGGGAGAGGAGAGGAACGGAGAGGAGAGAATTACCGCTGAGCACGCAGGGAGGGAAACAGAGAAGAAGAAGGAGGCCTGGTAAACGAGACAAGCAAGGGGAAACAAAGAAATAGGAGTGAGATGGTCAAATTTGCACGCCCCCCCAAAAAAATAGAAAAAAAATGACAAAGGGTTTTTCTACAGAGACGTCGGAGGCGAGATCACGTTTGTGGATTCTCAAACTGCGAGATGGTAGCGGCTGTAATCGCATTTTCCGTGGCATGTGCACGTTTCATGAATCCCGTGTGATGCTTTTGGGCTCCGGGCAACAAATTGAAGGTAAAAAGAAAAAGAAAAACAAAAGAGCAGCCAAGATGAGGAATAAAAAATTGAAGATATTATTTGAGGGCTGTTCCCCCCACGGAAAGTGAAAAAGAAAACAATTGATGGCAAGACGAAAAGTACTATTCTTTATTATTCGCAACGCCAGGGCTTTGAGTTTTAACAAAGACAATTCCATATTGCCGAGCTGCGGAAGACTTTATGTCCAAAACAAACGGAAAAGGCACCAGCCTCTTTCCAAGTAGGTCATTGAGCAAACGGCACCATATACTGTATAGTGCATTATGTAAATGAAGCAGAGGGTTGGAATAAAATTAAGTTTGGGATTAAGATTTGGAATTATGAATTAAGATTCAGAGTTTGGTTGTGGTCCAAAGTTAGGCGTAAGGGCGATCGCAGCAGCCCTGTGCTTCAGGCATTTTGTCTTGGGCTTCACAGGGCAACAAAACAACAAATATTTTATTGATCAGGGTCTGAAAGAAGTTCTCTTTCCGAAAATCACCTGTGCCTCCGTCAAAAGCTCTCATCTCGGTCTTGTAATACAGGAACAAAGCAAGCCCAAAAGCAGTTAAAAAAAAAAATAGATATATATATATATATATATTTTTTTTTTTTTCCCCTCAGCTCTGACTGTCCATAGTTCTCAATCAGCTTGATGGAATTTTGTTCAAAGTCTGGATAGGGTTTTAAATGAAATTGTTGAACCGCGACCATTTCTGAGGGCTCACCATATGTAGATATACCCTCCTACGCCCCCCACCCCCCCGCCCCAAATAAAGAAAGCGCAATAGCTCTGCACTTGATTATCTGGTGGCCTGGTTGCCTCAGTTATCTTCTTGAATCATAGTTTGTCACAAACTCCTGCCTTTTCTCTCCTTTGCCATCTGCAGCTTTCCCCAGAGTTAACTTATACTTTGACCTTTAGTCCTGTGCGTTCATTGGTGTGCGACATCACACTTTTGCTGAACCGCTGGCTCGTGATTTGGGACCGCTGAGTCATGGCGCGCTTTGCATCGCTGACTGCCGCTGCCATTCTTTATGGCTCCGTCATGACTTTGCATTTTCTGTTTTCTCCCGTGTCCCTCCCAACCACTACTCTCGCCCCCAACCCCCCCAAAAGGCCCCGACAGCCTCACATAAGAGTTATAATAAAATTGCAAGGTGACCATAACAGGGATTTATGTCGAGCGCAGATGGTCACATGATAACTTTTAATGCATTCCCTCTCCACCGTAATAGCGTATTGGTGAGAAACACGGTGCTTCTTATTTCACGGGCACAATCCACACAACACATTTTTGGCACCGTCATCTAATTTGATGACACAATCAATAAATAAATAAATAAATAAATAAATACATTTTTAAAAATAATTGGGGGGGAGAGGTGGTTCAAAATGTCACTAATTCCAATTATGACACTCAGCAACAAACTGCATCGAGACGTCTATCAAATAAAGGCTGTGATATATGATTTTTACAACTGTAAAATTTTTGGCTGTGTGTCCTCGTGTGATGATGCAGTGACTAAAAAAAAATTTAAAAAAATAAAACAAAAATAAAACATTTATTTGTTATTGGTTTGAAAACGTCACCAACATCACTGCTAATTAAAATCACAAAACGATGATGAAGTGAGCGGGGCGGGATGCGTTGGCAAGATACCCAGTCTATGGCTGACAGTTTATTTAGTTTAATAATAGTCACCCAAAAAAAAAAAAAAAAAAAAAGCGGTTTAGATAGCTTGAATTGAGTTTTCATCAAAATTCCTCCTCTCATAATTTCAGCTGTCCTATGTAAACAGTGATTAATGGTCTCTTTCTGAGGGAACATTTTTTCCCATTACAGCCGTGTCTGGCACCAGACTGCCGCCACAAGTTTTGACTTCTTTCAACCGCACAATGTCAAAAAAGGCCAATGACTTTGGCTGCCAACTCGGAGTTTTTGGGTGGATGTAGGCGGCGTCCGATCCGACCGGAGCCAATTTTGGACCGGGACCCAGATTCACTTATTGAGCTCAATGTCAAACAAATCACGAGTCGACCTCGTAACCTCAACAATATTCAATTTGAAGTTACAAGGCAACTGAAACTCATTCGAAAAAAAAAAATGGGTTTGCGAGAATTTCTCAATTAAGAGTCATTCCGGGGGATGAAGAATGGTTGCTACGGAATTGTGAAAAGAACACCTTATGAGTATTCAATGCAGTGCAATTTACAAAACAAGAATAATCATGAAAAAGGACACGGGAGATATCCGTACGAGGCACCGATAAAACCAGGAGGAGGAAGAAAAAGAGCCAATTGTCTCTCCAATTAGCTGCAGAAATCCAATATTCCAGCCTTTGTGCCTTCCTCCAGAGGGTTAAGAGGTTCACACAAACGCATGATTGGATAATAGAGAGATGAGGGGAGAGAGCGAGTGAGCGAGAGACAGCGAGATGAGACGTACGAGCCATAAGAAGCAAAAGGATGAAAAGCTCCAAGGTAAGAATTACTGAATAACACCTAATTGGATTAGATAAGACGGTTCCCTTTCACCATTATTTTTAAATTCATGTTCGGTTCCCAGGGACCCGCCAATGTCATTTCTCCACATGTTCAACATTGAGATTTTGAAACTACTTCGCCAGAACGAAATAATGGAAAGAATCAATTGGAACTGCCAGAGAGTCAGCCACGGTTAATATTGAAACACATACAAACGATGAGAAATGTGAGTTTTGACTGTCGGACGGGGCGGGCATCATGCCAAGTATAACTAGTGACGCAGAATTGATTGGTGATCAATTGCGTCGACGAGCACTGGAGGCAAAATGGAGAGTTTGATCCACTTGATCATAACTGACTAGCTTGCTGTGCAAAGACCCCCCCCCCCCAAGATAAAATCAGCTGTTGGAAGTTGCGCTATGACATAACTTTACCCAATTATTCTGATGAACATGAGATTCAGATCTAAACAGGAGTTCAGAACATAACGTATCTTCTTCTTCTCCTTTCGGCACGTCCCTATTCAGGGGTCGCCACAGCGAGTCAGTAATTTCCATCCGCCCCTGTAAACCGTCCTACCAACTCGCATGGTCGTCTTGGCAAAAGTTTTACACCGGATGCCATTCCTGACGCAACCCTCCCCATTTCTCCGGGCTTGGGACCGGCACTGGGGAACAGTGCACCCCCAGGGGAGGGCACTGCCCCCCAGCGGCTGGGTTTCAGAACATAACGTATAAGTCTCAATAATTTTGCAACAGAAAAATCGATTAATTGCTCGTTCCCCATCCGGCTTACAATGAGGCCAGTAATTCCTTGATTTTAAAACTTTTGTTATGCAGATTGGAGACAGATTTTCTTGGACTCACCTTTTGTGGGCCACATTTTTTTTAATGCACCAGGCCAAATCTGATATTCTCTCATATTTATCTTTTCATGTCAAACCCAAATGTGTTCAAGGTACGGCACAATTCGAGGAGCGCGTTTCACTGCCCCCCCAATACTTTTGGAGAGGAGCAAATTTCGCACTTTGAAGTCATGCAACTAATTATTCATCAAACCAAAACTAAACGGCCAACCATTGATTTACATTTGGGAAACATTCCCCCTTTAAAAAAAAAAAATAAATAAATAAATCAAAATTCTGATTCAACAAATCTTGCATTAACTTCATGAAAACAACGCCCTGTCCATCCCAACGCACCACAGCAGAACATTAGCGGATGTGTATTCCTTAATTAGCCAGAGTGCTTTTATGTGCCGCTAATGGATTCTGCACGCAAGTTTCTGTAAGTGCAGCGCAGAGCAGAATCCTAATGTTGGATGGTGACGATGATGAGTGAAGAGTAGTGAACATGTGGGAGTGCGATGGAGGGTGCTTGGAGGGGTGGGGAGGTGGGGGGGAGGGGTATGGATGGGCTAATTACAAGCAGTGGTTGTTTATCCCAAATAACAGGAGCGCAACGATTACTTATCACTAATTACAGCGCTTGTCTGAATGAATGGATTTGAGTTTCATTCCGTCGCAGGCAGATATAATTCAGAATTCACTTCTTAGTTCTCGGGTACGTTCTTCGGAAAACCGTACTTGGCGAGTTCACGGGACCAGACTGTGTGTTCTTGATATCGAGAAACAGCCTTTGCCTACATGAATTCCGATCCAAACCAGGCCCCTCAGAGGAACGAGCCCAGAAAAACGATCCATCCATCCATCAATTTTCGTATCCGCTTTATCCTCATAAGGGTCGCGGGGGGTGCTGGAGCCTATCCCAGCCGTCTTTGGGGAGTAGGCGGGGGACACCCTGAACCGGTTGCCAGCCGGGCACACACAGAGGAACAACTATCCACGCTCACACTCACAACTCGGGACAATTTGGAGTGTTCAATTAATCTGCCATGCATGTTTTTGGAAAATGGGAGGAAACCGGAGTACCCGGAGAAAACCCACGCAGGCCCCAGGAGAACATGCAAACTCCACACAGGCCGGAGCTGGAATTGAACCCGGTACCTCTGCGATGTGAGGTCGACGCGCTAACCACCGCCCAGAAAAACGATTAACCTAAAAAAAATGTTTCTAACATACACCCTTATCAGCGTTGAATCACAAGTCACGATTTGAGATTGACAGGGAAAAGGTTCCCAACCCCTGGACTAGACACGTCCACGCGCTGCTGTGAATCCCTTTTCCTTTTCATCTTCAAGTGTTGAACGAACGTGAGCAAGTCACTTTAAATGCAAATTCCCGCCTCCTTATTCAGCCCTTTTTAAAACCAAAAGCACTCAAGACCAAATTGATTAGGGGGCTCTTACGTGTAAGTGCTTGTTAGCATGCCAGGCGGAGGGCGGCGACGTAGCACAGTCGGACCTTCCATCACGAGTGCTGGTTACGATCAGCAACTTGCCGGCGCCAACCTTGGAGAATTATTATTTATGTCATTATGCATGAACACGATCAACCTTCATTTTCACTTTGGCTCGGAAAACTTAGAAAACGCCAATGCGATCACTTTGTGGAATAAGTAATGCTTCTTTGCACTTCATTAGGAAGTTGCGTGGATGGCTCACCTGTCCATCTGTCGACAGCTGATTATTTAGCAAGTTAGTTTCTTGGCAGTCAGTTAACATGTCGGGTAGCTGGTTTGTTTGTTCTTCTGCTTGGCAGATAGCAAGTTAGCAGCTAAATCTTACATTTGGGTTCAGTGTTTGCAGGAAGCTAAATCGCTAAATGGCAAATGAGATGAAGGATCACATTAATAGGGAGCGACACTCTTCCAGTAAAGCTGATTAGCTCTCTAATGACAATTACAATGCAAACGCAGCAAGCGGGAGCACGTAGTTAGCCTCTTTAGTTTAGCTAGCTACGTTTTCCGGCACCATGAATAGTACGTCGTGCACTTTTAGAGAAATAAAATTGCAATGCTTACCTGGAAGGTAGTTTCTGTGGATTTTGTCCAGGATTCAGCCACCGATGCGGAAAGCCACGAAGCTTCATTCAGAGGTGGCGTTGAACTGAGAACGTTCCGGGTCCTGGAAAAAAATAAATCTCCCAGTAAGTAGCGTCTTTTTAAAAAAAAAAAAAAGCTTGTCATGTGAATTTATAACTTCGGAGTAGGACAAATAGCATTAATAGCGTGGATGTTTGATGCTGTGTGAAGCAAAGTAATGCCACATGTTGCGTTTTTATGCTAGGGTCCACCGCAATGAAGAAAAAGTAAGTCAAGCGGAACATCTTGTTTAGGGAATGAAAATAAGAGAGGTGCTATTAGTTATAATTGTATCTCTGGGGTTGCGTTTGTTCTTCCTTTTTTTTTTCTTTTTTTTTTATGTATGTCGAACGATTGTGAAGGACGATTTAAACAGATGCACAACTCAACTATAGCCTTCAAATCACCACATTGGAAAGCACAATTTGAAAGAATGAACATGAC